CTGCTCTGCAGGGCCCCACAACAGATCCAGGGGGCCTGGCCTGAGCCAGGACCCCAAGACCCAAATGCAGGCCCTGTGGCAATGGCATTAAAAAGAAACACGAATCACCAAGAACCCTATCCGGTGCTACCTCCCTGTATCAGCCAACCACTAACACGGACAGAAAAGGGAAGGGAAAGAGGGGGCTGCCCAGAGTCCTCTTTCCCTTCAGTCCTTCCTTACTCATCACTAAGCCACGCTGGAGTATTGAGAGAATGTGAATTTACCAGGAAGGGAGATAAACACAATTGAGCTAGTTTTGTGCAACTGGTCCGCTCAGAACGAAACACATACACATGAAGAGTTAAATACTCCTAATAAGAGATGAACAGTAAATTCGTTCCAATAATTTAAATTATTAATTTTTCTTTACTTAGAACGTTAAATAGCAAACTTCAGAGAGACCACGGTACTATCTTTGACGGTACTCTTTCCCTGCTTTTTGCACCGAGCCCTGCAGATCATGTGGCTGGCCTTGACCCCAAATATTACTGATTAACTGAGCTGGGTGAAGCTGGGTGAAGGAAGGCCTGGCCCCAGGGTGACAGGAGCGGACCAAGAGGTTCAGCATCAGCCTAGGTCACCTGTGATTGATTCAAGGGTGGATGCAGCAAGGAGGAACCAGGGTGGAGGGCTGCCTGAGGGAGGAGGAGTTCACCCCAGGGGAGGGGGAAAAGGCATGCACTTGACATTGTTTATTACCCCTTCTTTCTAGAAGTCTGGGCTTCTGCAACTCTGCTGTGGTGGATGCCGTGGTGCTCCGCCCAGATGCCCTGTGCGCAAATCTCAGGCGTAAGACACCCGTCCTACCAGACTCTTCCTTTCACCTCGGGAAGGACAGCCAGCGCCTCACGGCACAGAAATATAAGACAAACCTCATCATGAATCCTAGCTCTGTGGTTAAAAAAAAAAACAACACACAAATTCTTACTCCTGAAACCAATACTACATTATATGTTAACTAACTTGAATTAAAAACAAAAAGCGAAACACCCACAGATGCTTTGCTACTCCTTTCTTCAAAAGAGGTGGAGCGTGATTTGCCTCCCTGAGTGGGGGCTGGACTTGCTCTGACAGCGTCCAGCGGGGCTGGCGGAGTGTGAGGAGACGGGCCCCGTAAGGCCTCGAGGCTCCTCCTTGGTCGCTCTCCTGGACAGCTCCCACTGCCCTGTCATGAGGACACTCAAGCAGCCCACGTGGCAAGGAACGGAGGCCTCTTGTTAACAACCGTGTGAGGGAACCTTCTGGAAAACGTATCCTCCATGCCCCCGCAAGCCTCCAGATGACACTGGACTGCAACCCTGAGCCAGAGTCACCCAGATTAGTCCCTCCCCAATCCCTGCCCTCAGAAAACTGAGAGAACAGAAAATAATAAGAAATTGTCAGTTGTTTTAATCCTCTAAGTTTGGGGTAGTTCATTATGCTGCAAGAGATAACTATACTTGATCTCTTCCTGAGTTGTGTTACTCTGGATAACCTAAGCCTCAGTTCCCCCCCATCTGGAGAATGGAACAGACATGAGGCCCCACCACCCTGGGGCTGTTAGGAAGGTTGAGGTACCGCGTGTGTGGTGTTCGGCGTCTCAGCTAACACATACGGAGCAGTTACTGTGTACTCTTTGATGTTCTTCTCGGGCTCCCTTGCTGGTCCTCTTTCTTTTCCTGTCCCTTAAACGTTCTTGCTCCTGACAAAAACACACTTCCCACAACCTAACACTGTTCTTGGCAGGGACAAAGAGGGACTTACAGTGTCTTCTGCATTTGGCAGACCACCAACCGCTCTGGGCCTTGACGAGGGAGCTCTCTTGGAGGTGGGGGTGCCCCGCGCTCGCAGGCGCTGATGGGCCCTCCGCTCCCCACTCCTCCAACCCCTCACCACGTCCCCATCACATTCAGCCTGAGAGACGGGCCCACAGTTAGGATGTCCCACCTTCTCCTAGGAGACTGTCAGGTCTAACCTCATGTCTGTCAGCCTGGTTTAACCTAGTCACCACGGCCTCCAGGTGCCCTGTGACCTGCTACCACGATGCAACATGTCCTAATCTGACTCCACCCGGCCCTGTCCCCTCATCTCCCAAGCCCTCCTCCATGTCCTCGTGGTCTGACATCAGCAAAGCCCCTCCATCCCCAGTCTCTTCTCTGGACACTGTCCTCCTCTGCCGGCTCTTAGCTGGGGGCTGGCTGGTCCCTGCGGGCCTCCTCAGGGGCATCATTTCCTCTCCCACGACCGTCTGGGGTTGACGGAGGTGAGTGGGGCTCCTCCTGCGGCTTCATTACCGCTTCCAGATTACTGTTCGTCTCCTCAGCAGCTTTGGTGCAAGTTGTACAACATGACGAATGTACTAAATACCACCGAATGGTACACATTAAAGTGGTTATTTCTAGGTTCTATGACTTAGAAGAAAAAAGAACCCATGTAGCCCAGTTGAGGACCCATGCTCTGGCTCGTCCCCCCCCCCCGAACCCCACCGTGGTCAGGTCCCTGTGCACAAGTCCCTCTCCACCCCCCGCCAGAGGCCTTCTCTGTCGCGCCTCTTTAAAATGTCACTGCATCTCACCCCTCCACACAGAACAGCAAATCCCTGCTCACCTTTCAAGGCCAAGCTCGACGGCCACCTCTGACCTGGGGCAGAACGAGCCGCCTCCCCTTCCCATTCCCATGGCCCCGCACCGTGCCAGGGTCTGTCGGCCTGGTGAGGCTACGGCTCCTCAAGGGCAGAGCGGGTGTGTGTGCTCCCAAGTGCCCGGCCCGGAGCAGATGCTCTGGGACAGGCTGCTGAGCCCAAGTGAGAGCCGTCTGCTCCTCCCGGAGGACAGCACTGTGGTGTCTCTGGTGTCTCTGTCTGTGGCGTCACGGGTGCTCTGCGTCCCTGGGACTAGGCCCCTCTGGCCCTACAGTGCCGGCCGGCTGGGGACTCCGAGCCTCACCTGGAGCTCCCAGAAGATGCTGCGCGTGTGCCGGTGGTAGTAATGTCTCAGGGGGATGTACTCCAGGCCCTCCCGCTTTGTCTTCAGGTAGTTCTCCACGTGCTTGAAGAACCAGGGCTTGTAGTAGTTGCCAATGCTATTCAGCTGAAATGACAGAGGGCACTGTGTCAGCCCACAGACGAGGGCCTGATGCCATCGGGCCGTAACGGTGATACCCGCCTCTGCTCAGCACCTGCGGCCTTTTCAAAGGTTCCGAGTCCGTCACCACCCGTGAGACTCTTGAGAGCCCGGTGAGGCTGAGCACAGCGGGCATTCTCTAGCAGAGCGAGGGTAAGCGGTGCCCGACGGTCTGGAGAGCTCAGCCACCCCTCCCCCTCACGGACAGAACCGAGGGGCAAATGCCGAAGGACGCAGCGCCACGCGGGGGACGCCTTCCCTCCCTCCCTCCCACTCCGCCTACCCTGTCACCGGGTCCCACGGCCAGCAGCACTGACTGACCGTGGCACTTCCCTTGCGGCCGACACCAAGGCCCACGACCCTCTGGGTGCCGTGCTCCCCTCAGGCAGCCCCCCTCAGTGGAGGAAGCTCACAGAGCGAACCTAACACTTCCCTAGCACCAGGCCCCCGGCCTCCAATGCCTAGATCTTATATTGAGACAGTCTTCAGTCCTAAACAGTTCAGGACTCCACCTGCGGGGGGCCCCGGCATGACTTAGCCTCTCTGGGCCTCAGCGTCCTCGCACATGGAATGAATTCCGGGCAGGTGCTTTTGGAGAGAGGCAGGGCGACGGCCTGGAAGGAACACGGGCTCCAGAGCTGGGGCCAGACCCCGGCTCCCATCACCCACCAGCTGTGTGACCTGGGGCCGGTCGCTCTCTCAGCCTCTCTCTTCGCATATAAAACGGCAATAAAACTATCGACGTTGTGGGAGGTTTTCTGTGCCAATTAGAAATCACACCCACACGCCGCAGACACTCGGGCCCCACGTCAGACCCCGTTTTCCCTGGGGGGTGGGAGAGGCCCCCGAGTTTTATGGGGCAGGTGAGATCGCACCCAGCTGGGGTGCAGCACAGGCTGAGGAGGGGGCCGAGAGCAGCAGCCTCGGAGCAGAGGCACGATGCTGCCGGGGAACCGTCGGGGTATAAAGGCGGGAGCAGAGGTAAGATGAGCATTCCCAGGGTGGCTCATGGCCGAGACCCATCACAACAACACGCTCCGGGCACTTCACGTGCTTGCTCTGTATCCCCTCGGTGACCTTGCAAGGCAGAGCTGTGTTTGTCTCGCTGGTGAGGAGACTGAGACCCATCAAGGTGGAACAGCGCGCCCGAGGCCACACGGCTGGCCAGGGGCAGGGCAAGGACTCAAGCCTATCCCACGTTGCACGAGGCCAGGGCTGGGCAGCGGGGAACTTGAACAGTGCGCTCTGGAATGTGAACGTTATAAAAAAACAACAACAAACCTATCACTATTTTCTCCCGATTCCAAAAGCAAAGTAAATGCCTTGTGGGAACCTCACATGCTGCAGAAATATGCAACTTGGCAAGAGAGACACCTTGCAGCCTCACCCTCCCGAGGTAACTACTAACACGGATGTGTACTCATTAGGTTTTCTTTTCTGTGCATACACATGGATTTATAAAAATGGGATCGTCCTGTGCACTGTTTGTGGACTCGCTTGTCCTACTTTGAACACACGGTGCTGGTCCTGGGCAGGTCACTCTGAGCCTTGCTTTCAGCACCGGTGAAACGGAGCTATTACCCGCCCTGGAGCGGCTGTGGAAACCAGAAAAGCCAACAAGGAAAGTGCCCGGGATGGCGCCTGCCCACGGGCACAGCGGTCAGTTCCCAGCCCTCTCCCATCCTCTGCCCCCGACCCCCTCACAAGCCCCTCCCCTAGGAGCCTCTGGCCCCCATCTCTGGCAGCAATGCTCCAGCCCATGCAGGTGTCCCCTCGTGCAGCAGGCCACTATGCTGGCAGGAAACGGGGGCCACGAGGTGCCAGGACGCTGGGCTGAAGAGCCTGTTTGTGCAAGTCCACGTTAGCGTGGTTAGCGCGGCTAGCGCGGCAGGGCAAAGGACGCAGTGCACTGGCCTCTGCCTGCTGGTACAAGGGACAGTGAAACCCAACAGGAGCAGAGCAACCTGATCTAACCGCAGGTGTGGCCTGGCCACACACCAGCTGCATGATGGAATCGAGACCAGGGCATACCTGGGTTCGGGTGCTCCCTGTGCTCCTCGACTCAGTAGGAACCTCCGGGCCAGACAAGCCCGGGAGATGCTAAAGAACCCGGACACTGTGTCTCTCCCAGGGATAGGTCCGCTGGGGCAGCCAGAGGGCCACAGGAGCTCCGGTTCCAGCTGGAGCACTCAGAGAGCACGCCCCTCCCTAGCCCCGGGCCTCCCCTGTACGTCAGGGTGGGCTGCCTCCTCCCACTGGCTCTTCTGGGCCTGCAGAGGGCCCATCCCAGGGCCACACAGCCCGGGACAAATTCCTGAGCAGCTTGCCCAACAGGAGTGTTCGGAAGAATGAGATGTCCATATGTCTAATAGTATCTGCCACTCTCTTCCCCGAACCCTGTTACCGATGGGCATCAGGACACTTTGTAAAAGTCTGCAGCCTGGGGGCCTGGCCCCTCTCCCACTGATACCAGGTGAACCTCGCGGTAAGACCGTGGTCTTCTAGGGCAATAAGGGAATGGGTTACGGTGTCCCAACACTTTAAAAGCTGTACAAACCCCGCTGCCCGATTATAACATTAGGTGGCATCTAATACAGCAAACAGGTACCAGGGATGAGCACAGGGAGTGGCCCCTCCGCCAGCCTCTAAGGGAATGCCTGGGAGAAGGCAGAAGACATCTGCACTAGATGTCCTTGCCAGGTGACCAGGTGCTAGGTGACCCGCACTGACGGGGCCTGGGGAGCGACACGGCACATTGGCTTTGTGTCTATGTCCAGTGTTCCCATTCTTGCTCCAGGATCCCCATCCCCCAGCACCCACCATGGTGCCCCACCAGGACGGGTCCTCGGTCAGTGTCTGTGAATGCTGCTGGATTACAGAAGCTGGTAGGCTGGGGAAGTAACACTGGACTAGGAGTCAGAGACCTGCCCCATGCTAGCCGTGAGCGCTCACAGAAATCTCGTCCCCTCTGGGCCTTGTTTCCCTATTTAGAGAGGGAATTGCATGAGACGATTTCCAAGTGCTTTACAATTTTAGAAGGTTTTAAGTATACTGGTATAGATCAAAAGCCTTAAGAGTACTTATCCTTTGATGTACTTTAAGATATTATTCCAATTATAGACAAAAGATGTTCATGGCTACCTTAATTAAAATCAGGAAAGACTGGGGTGCCTGGGTGGTTCAGTCGGTTAAGCGTCCGACTCTTGGTTTTGGTGCAGTTCATGATCCTGGCGTCGTGAGATGGAGCTCTGCATCGGGCTCTGTGCTGGGCATGGAGCCTGCTTAAGATTCTCTCTCTCCCTCTCCCTCTGAGCCCCCTTGCCACTCTCTCTCTCTAAAAATAAATAAATAAATAAAAAGAAAAAGGAAAGACTGGAAGCAACTTATATTTCCAACCACGGGGCCATGGTTCAGTAAATGATAGGGCATTCGCTCAACACAGTGCTCTGCAGTCATTAAATGACAATTTTGAAGGCCATGCAACTATGTGGGGAAACACGTATCACACTCAACCGGAAAACACAAGTTTGAACAGCTGGTCACAGCCGATCACAGCCGAAGACGAACAAACGGAAAAAAGCATACAAAGAGATGTTCGAACCACAAAGGCGACCCGAGAACCACAAAAGGAAACGAGATGCTATTTTTAACCCTATCAGATTGGCAAAAATGAAAGCGTGATCGTATCCAGTGTCGGCAAGAACGTAGGAGAAAGGCATATTGTCACACACGGTCGCCGGACGCGGGCAGAAGCACCACTGCTCTGAAGGACTGTTTGGCAGCGGCTGTCGGTGTGTAATGTGCTCCAATCCTTAAGTCAGGAATTCCAATATTTGGACTCAATCCTACGGAAGTGCTTGCCCAAGAGGCCAAGGATGGATGTCAGAGAATCTTCAACGCAATCTTATTTGTAAGAGCAAAACATCTGAAGCAAGATAGATGTTCATCAGGAAGCAGCGCGTTAGGTCAGTTATTCCACGCCATCCTGAGACACCGGGAGGAAAGGAGGGTGCGCCCACGCGCGTGTGCACACACCTCGAGGCATGCACCGTGTTACAAGCGGTTACTCTGGGGGTGAGCCTGGGGGAAGAGACCCATTTTAACTTTCCTTTATATAGTTCAACGTTGTGATGCTACTTTTATAATTTAAAAACTTTAAGGTATGCCCTGAAAAGAGAGGAAATAAATATACCCAACGGTTAGCAAGAGCTGGTTTTGGGTCATGTTTATCGGTAGGGTCTTCTTTCCTTTTACTCATTTATAGTTTCCAAGTCTCTCATACACACAAACCCTTTCACATGAGAGAAAAAAAGCTGCTATTGAAAATGACGTCCATCAAAGGAGTGTCCATCTAGATTCTGAGGCATCAAATCCATTCTGCAAATCTTGGTTCTGTCATCTCGTGGAAGTTCACAGGACCTCTTAGAGCCTCAGTTCCCTCATCTATAAAATGGGGTTGCTGTAAGGATCAGCAAAAGGGTGTGCCTTTCAAGAGGCACACATGTATCTGGCAGGTGTTCGGGGCAGAGTCAACGGATGCTTCCATCCCTGTCTGAGACAGCTCTGACTGTAGATCCTAGGGCCCCAACCCCGGGTGGGCTGACCGAGGTCATGGCCTCAAAGAACGTGGCTGCCAGGCAGGGTCAGGGTGGGGGCACAGGCTCAGCCCCAGCCCACCTGGGCCTTCCTCCTCCCCAGGCCTTGGCCCTCAGCCGCTGACGCCCTGGCCTACCTTGCTGGGCTCTGCCTGGTCTGTCATGACCCCCGTCATGATGACAGCCTCATCCAGGGAGTACAGCAGCCCTTCCACGAAGTGGTTCTCTAGCCGCTGGGACTCCCGGGTGAACTTGTCGCAGATAGCCTCCAGGCCCCACACCGGCTCAAACCGAAGCCTGACGTACTTCTTGGCGGGGATGATGCGGATCTCGGCGGCCACCAGGAAGCCCAGGGTCCCACAGGACCACGGCACAGCGTAGAACAGGTCTGAGTTTTCCGACTATAAGGCAAAGTCAACACATGCTGAGAGCCTGCACCCCCAGACCCCGCAGTGTGGCACACAGTGAACAGCGGTGCAAAGAACCCAGGGCCTCAGCTTACTTCCTGCTCTGTTGCTGTCTTGTTGTATAAACCCTAACCAGGAACTTCAGAAACAGGACTTTCTGGGCCTGTGTTCCCTCTGCGGCTTCAACTGCCCTCTGTACCAGGGATGCTCATGGAAAGCACAGCCTCTCTCTTCCACCCAGGTACAGCCCCGGGACCACAGGCTGCCCAGGAACAGGCCAGGACCAGCACTGCCCAAGGAGCCAAAATGGGGGATGAAGGGCTAAGGGTCCCAGGCCAGGCTAAAAAAAGAGCTTCCTGACGGTCCCGGTCAGCAGGGAACATTAAAATGGGCCATTACTAAAACAAGCCTTTTTTAGTCCATGAGCTGTGGAATCCCCCCGGAACCCAGGGAAAGCACTAACACTTCCACGGGAACAGGTAAGGAAAGTGAGGCTCTAAGAGGTGACATGGCTCTCCCCAGGCATCCCACAAGTCAGCACAGAGAGGCCAGCATTCAGGCAAGGTCGCCTAACTCCCTACCCAACATTCTTCCTGGAAGACCTCATCTGGTTCCACAATCTGCTTCTAACCTTATCATTTCTTGTTCTGGTATTTGTCTTAGAGACAGACAACCGACTTTTCATCTGGCCATTCTCATTCAGGTTCTTTGATTCTAACAAAGCTCCTTTTAAAAAAGTCCAGCTTTGTCGGGCCCTTTACCAAGAGGACAGTCCTCTGTCGTCTCTGCTCATGCTGCATGCCCTTGGTGTGGCTGTGGTGGAGGGCAGGGGGTGAGGGCAGGGGGTGAGGGCGGGGGACTGGGGCAGGGAAGCTCTGCAGCAGGCTGGCAGAAGTCTCTGGAACAGCACAAGTCGGCCATCTGGGCCCCCACCTAACCACATTGTCAGATAGCAGCAGTAATAACCAGGTGTCTGCCAGGTACCCAGCTCTATGTTAGGTGTTTCACATATGGCATCTCCTTTCTCCTCCTTACAATGCATTTGTCAGATGAGGAAAATGGGCCTCAGGGAAGAAGGGAAGTCACTCACGAATGTTTGTCTCCTTTCTCTGCTGGGAATAAACAGGTCAGAAGGCAGGGCCCAAGCAAGTGTTTAGGAAAACGTGCTGAATTGCTGTGAATCCTGAAAGGGGTCTCTCTTGTCTAAGACCAGGGCTCTCCAGCCTGCCCTGGACTCTCTTCTGTGAGGCCAGGAACCCTGGTGGCTCTCTAAAACATCTTCTTGTAAAAAGTGACTCTATCCCTGCCATCTAGGGGCCTCTTAGATATGCTCAGAAATCTGAGTTTGTTTAAAGTTTCAATCCTGTCCCACTCATTAGGGTAAAATGCCTTAAATGTTTGCATCCCACTTTGGGCAGCAGAATTATCTTTTGTTTCTCCAAAACAGCCCCTCTTGCCACTTTTAGTTACATCTCACAGCACCTGGCATAGAGCTCTGTGGCTCGGGCCCGACTCGCCCGAGAGAGACAGAATGCTATAATAAATGGCTAAGGGCATGGATCTGGGAGCCTGATAATTTGGGTTTGAAGCCCAGTTGTGTGGGATTTCCTAGCTGTGTGATCTTGGGCAAGTTTATTAGCCTCTCTGTGTTTTAATTTCCCATCTCTAAAATATGGCTAATAATAGTACCTCGTAAAGTTATTGAAGGATTAAATGGCTTAATATATATGAAGCATTTACAACAGTATCTGAGCACATATAAGGGGCTATATCAATCTTTGTTATTATTATGGATACAGACCCAGACTGAACAGGTGTGTTTGAAAGGAAGCACCTTCAGGGTTCCTACCTCCCCAGGATCCTTGATGCCCAGGGCAGGCTGGTGGGAAGTCCCCCATCTCGGAACTCACCGGTGTGCATCGCACAAAGCTGCCATCGGCTAGGACCAGCTCATAGGCAGTGCAGATGTGTTGGAACAGGCCGTACTTGTGGGATGATGACTCGATGCCCGTGCCCATGATCAAGCCCCCTGCAGAGACACGCGAGTTAGCCAGGCAGAGCTGTGGGGTGCAAGGTCAGGAGGGGATCGAGTAAAGGGCACTTCACAGGAGCTGGGGTTGCTCACAGCACAAGGGAGGTGTGACAGGACTGGCCACTTGGGGTAGATTTCCCATCTCTGTGGATCTGGAGAGCAGGAGAGGGAAGGAGGGGCTCGTACGGGAGCCTGGGGGCTTCCCTGAGGTAGGGGGACCTGCAGAAAAGCCTGTCAAGGATGCTCACACCCTCACCTCTATCCAGACCCTGCCTCAATGCCTGTGCGCACTCATCTTAAGAGGGACCTTAACAAAACAGGGTGGGGGGGGTGCCTGGGTGGCAGGAAGCCGTGTCCTGTGGTGTTTCCCCTGGAGAAGGAAAGGCATTGGGGACCATGAATCCTACAGAAAGAGAGACAGACTAGACTTATTCTGTGTGCTCCTCAAGGCAGAACTGGAGTTACGGACACATGTCACGGGGACACAGTTTCACGCCAGAGAGAAGGTACTGCCTGAGAACCAAAGGCAGGCAGCCAACGCCCTGCCTTTGGAGCTGGGTGAGCAGACACAGGGACTTCTGTCACAGATGGAACAGCAGCGGCCCCCACACCAAGAGGTGGGCCACAGGGCCTCAGCTCTGACCCTCGGCCGGTCTTGAGTCCTCACCCACTGTGAGGTCATCGAGCTCGGGCAACACAGGCAGCGTCCAGCCAATGGAGGTCAGCAGGGCAGTCACTTGACCCATGGTCACCAAGGGCTCCACACGGACAATCTGTTGACACAAGAAGAGAGACCCTGGGTCACCGGGAGGCTGCCAGGGCTGCTGGGGGCCTCTTCACACAGAAGGAGTCACCCGAGATCTTCCCACACGATCACATAGAATTCCTGTGTGCCTCTTGCAGCCTCTTGCTAGAACACGACACTGCCTTTCATTATAGCAAATGTGGTTTCTGGTGCTGGGTCTGCTAGCGTTTGACCGTGTCCTTTCAAATATCTTTACACTTAATACTTAGTTTATTCCTCTTCCAGACTATCAAAGAAATACTCTTTTATTTGAAAGAAACTGCATACACGAAGAAGACAAAAGACATCCATCCTATTTCTTCATGTCATCCTAGCTGTCAGTGCTAATGCTGGAGTGTCCCTACATTCAGGCTTTTTCCATCCATGCCTAAACTGCTATTTTGTACGTTGTAATACAACACACACATACACACACAAATTCAAGCACACATACGCATACTTTTCTACTTTGCTTTTTAAAATTTAACACTATGACCATCATCCCTTGCCATAGAATATTCTTGGAAACCACAACTTTTAATGGACACATCCATATGCCAACAAGTGGACTTTGGCTTCCAGCCAAGATGGAGCAACGGGGATCCCATTTACCCTGTGCCCAAAAGCAAGAAACTGACAAAACGAAACAAGAGTTTTCAACAGAGTGGACATCAGACGAAGTTAATGACCGCTGAAAGACAGGAAACAAAACGAGGGGAGCTCTGTTAACACCCAGGCTAATTCTCTGGAGTCAGGCAGTGCAGGGAGGGGAAAGGCAGGGGGGCCCAGGGGACTCTGTGCTGAGCGCTGCAAAGACCAAGGTGAATAGGGTTTGTAGGACAGAGCACTGGAGAGGAGAGAAGTGCACTGAGAGAAGACTCTGAAGAACTGCAAAGGATGCCCACTGAGCATTCAGCAGAGTACTGGTCAGTGCAGACACTTAAGGAAATTACCTGAGGCTGAGGCCAGGGAAAGTGTCCCCAGAAAGGGGAACAGGGAACAGGGCCAGGGGCTCACCTAGGGAAGGAAAGAACATCTGTTCTCACAAGCCAGACTGGAAAACCTCTTGGTCCACAAGGCAATGGGTAGAATAGGATCTTGCCTCAGCAGTGGTGGGATAACTACCCTTAGATTACATGCTGCTCTGACCTCACCTGAAAAATTAAGACCCTACAGGATCAAACTATTTCCCAGTAACATAGCTGTGCCCCAGAACAAAGCTCAAGAAGATTTATAAGAATACAAAAATATCTAGCACCCGGGGCGCCTGGGTGGCTCAGGCATTAAGTGTCTGCCTTCGGCTCAGGTCATGATCCCAGGGTCCTGGGATTGAGCCCCACATCGGGCTCCCTGCTCAGCAGGAAGCCTGCTTCTCCCTCTCCCACTCCCCCTGCTTGTGTTCCCTCTCTTGCTGTGTCTCTGTAAAATAAATTAATAA